GGAGAACTGTAGCTGAGTCACTAAATGGATACAATGATTAACTTAACTACACCCACACAGACAGAGGCAGCCCTTACTTTGCACAGCACCAAGTTAACTGAAATGTACGTATGTCTGAGCCATGTCCGAATTCTGCATGGTCCCAATATGCATGGGTTTGGTTAGCATAGCACCCTACAAGACAAGGGCTACCTGTATATGTAAAAAACATTCTAGAAAATCTCCTGACATACAGCAAATTCTCATAAGTGGTACCTAGATTATTAAACCAGGAAATGGTTTTACAACTACTGTAGCTGTTTATAATTCTCTAGCCTCTCTTTTTGAGCATTTTCAATGATAGTGCAATCGGTATTTTACCAAGACCACACTCCAGTTACCTATCTAAGTTAAGTCTATAGTAATTTGTACCCATTTAATTCTGGTATTGTTCTCAGCTGCTACATAATTCATATTGCTCATTAAAAGGCAGCATCTCTGCAGTGCTCAGAGCTTTCCCAGCAGATTCCATTTCAGAGCCAGCCGTGCATCCCTGGCAGACTGGCGCCTCTTTGTCACACGGTCACCATTCCATTCCCCAACCTGTGGTCTAGGTGGCTGAGTTACAGAATTCAACAACCCAGCTGCCTGGAAAGCATCACGGAAAGGGAAGATGTGCAAGGACAGAGGCACACGAGAGTCAGAAGGCTTTACAGGAAGTATTTCCTCGCACTGAAGGATCCTAGGTGTCTGAGGAATCTGAGATGCTAAACCCATCAGATGAAGTCTGAGCTCTCAGATTGTGTGAATTAGCATCCTGGTCCCAATGCGTGCTAGTTTTTTGTGTATTGGCAATTTATGTAATCTCTGTCTTATTTCCTCCACTTGCAAAAGGGGACAATAATAATTATTCCATCACTTTCATTGTAAAGTTAAAATAAGATAATTTTACATAGTAGGTATGTAATATATTTTATTTATAATTATTAGTAGCGCCAATGGTAGTTTCTTCATTGAGGGGACTCATGACCTTTATATTTGTTGGTGAACACAGCTGCTCCAATTCCTCTTCAGGAATCAGTTAAGTCACTTTGCTTAAAGTCATCCCCCTTCCTGGACAGCTCAAGTCTGATGACTGATCAATACAGGAGTGTAGACCTGCCACCTTGGTCTGATTTGGGGCAAAGCTGAGGATCCCTTTTTGATCCAGGACTTCCCATGGAGTTGACTGAGGTTGTTTGTGGGGCTGCACTGTAGCCCAGTCTACATTTCTGCCTAATCCTGCTTTCTTCTCCCATCCTCTTCCTGTCCCATGTCATCTCCAATGCAACAGGAGTTGGTTCCAAGTGTACTTCTTAATAAGGATCCTGCACACCAACCCCACAGAAGTCAGCTTTGTTGAGTACGTCCCTTTTGACAATGAGATTGTGAGACTATTAAGTCCCCTCACTCAGATGTTGCATTTCATGGCCCGAGACCTGAGGCCATCAGAGCTCACCTTATCAGTTTTGGCATGTTCTAGGGTGTTTGAAGGTCACAGTAACTCAGTAGTTCTCCTGGGAACTGGTCAGCTTCAGGCCATTTTCCCACTGCCTGGGGAACCAATCATACTTCTAGTAAGGGGAGAGTACAAAGGAAGGCCTCGGACATCTGACTGGAAACACTCACTGTGGTCCTGTGTCTGGTTTATGTGTGACATTGGCAGCCCAGTCAGCAATAGATACCTTCCATTCTGGTGATCAGTCATTTGACCTCGTTCTCTGAGTTCCCGAGTTTTGGGAGTTTGGTAGAAAACAGAGCCCAGAAGAGGTCCCTAAGGGGCTGAGTGAAACTCTGGACATTTTTCCTGTGGGGTGTTCACATTTGCCCACTGGTAACAGGATGAGTTGGTTTTGTACATATACAGATTTCAAAATTTCCAGGGACTCTTTCCCTTCTTTTCAAATAAATACAATTGTTCTACTCTTGCAGCTTCAGACTCCTAGTCTGTTTTATTATAATTTCTCATATGCCACCCACAGTTATTATTAGCCTTATGTTGTATAATATTAATATCTCTAAGTTCAGTTCAGGAACTTAAATTCATTGAAACAATAAATTACTCTCTTACTGGATTATAATTAAAAAAAAAAAACTTAGAAAGATTAATGAATGAATTTTAAGGAAACAAAAACTAATCAATCCATATTGTAGCCAAAGTGACCTTTCTAAAACATACCTTGCTTAACATCCTTCACTATTTTTCTTACTGTGCCTTAAAGATCCTACATAATCTGATATTTATTTATATTTTCAGTTTCATGCCTTACCATTCCAGCTCATCACAGTCCACACACACACACACACACACACACACACACACACTCACTCATACTTTTTCAATTACTTTTTCAGAAAGGTCAAATGTAGCATTCTGTTTTGGAATACAATATATTTTTCTCTGGTTTATGGAGGCATTTTTAATTTGTTTCCTCTTAATTAAGTATTGAACAACTTGATAAACCACTATGTCTGCTGTCATGTTAGAAGAGGCAACTAATTTCATTTAAATTGATAAATTGGCTTTAGATGTAGGTATATCCTTAGGTAAGGTAATATATTGATGTTATTGCTTTCCTTGGAATATTTTTTTCCTTCTTTGGAGTTTTTCTTTAGCTTTAGGAAAACATTATTTTGATGGGTTATAGGAGAGACCTACAGAATTGTTTCTTTATATTGTTTCTGTAGACCCTGGGGTATGATGAATGTGTCTGTAATGAAGGAGGGATAATAGAGACATTTCTGAACCTCCACTTTACCTCTGCAAAGCTATATATCTCTTTTGAATGTGGAAGATAGTCTATATACAAGCCAGCTCATCTCTCAAATAAGGGATTCCAAGGTGTAATTCTATAGCAGAGGAACTTTTAACTAGATCACCAACTTACACCATACACAGGAGTAAACTCAAAATGATAAAAGACTTAAATGTAAGTCTCAAAACTATAAAAATCCTAGAAGAAAACATAGGCAGTAAAATCTCAGACCTCTCATGGAGCAGAATTTTTGCCCGTATTATATCCTATGGCAAGGGAAACAAAGGAAAAAATAAGCAAATGGGATTATATCAAACTAAAAAGCTAAGTACAGCAGCAAAAAAAAAAAAAAAAAAAAATCTTCATAATGAAAAGGAGCCGAGTATTTAGGAGAACATATTTGCCAATGATACATCTGATAAGGGGTTAATTCCCAAAAATATATAAAGAACTCATACAATGCAATAAAAGGAAGACAATCCAATTTAAAAATGAGCAAAGGATATGAATAGACACTTCTCCAAAGAGGCCAAGAGACCTTCAAAAAAATGCTGTGTCATTAATCCTCAGAGAGATGCAAATTAAAACTACAATGAGGTATCACCTCACACCTGCCAGAATGGCTTTGTCAATACATCAACAAACAACAAGTGATGATGAGGATGTGGGAAAAGGGAACTCTAGTGCACTGCTGGTGGGAATGCCCACTGGTGCAACTACTGTGTGAAACAGTATGGAGTTTCCTCAAAAAATTGAAAACGGAACTGCCGTTTGACCATAATCCCACTTCTGGGACTATATTAGAAGAAGCCTGAAACACTAATCAGAAAGAATATATGCACCCCTGCCCTGGCTCAGCGGTTAGAGCGTCAGCCTGCGGTCCACAGAGACCCGGGTTCGGTTCCTGCTAAGGGCTGCAGTTTGTCCCCGCCCCTGGTTGGGTCGTGTGGGTGGTGGTCAGGTGGTCACTCGATGTGTCCCTTTCACGTCAATGTTTCTCTCTCTCCCTCCCACTCTATCTGAATAAAAAATGGAAAAATGTCCTCGGGTGAGGATAAAAAAAAAAAAAAAAAAAAGAATATATGCACCCCTATGTTCATAGCTGTGTTATTTACAATCCCTAAGATCTGGAAACAGCTCAAGTACCCATCAGTAGATGAGTGGATAAAAAAGCTGTGGTACATTTACACAACAGAACACTATGCAGCTGTAAAAATGAAGGATCTCTTACCCTTTGAGCCAGCATGAATGGACCTAGAGATTATTATGCTAAGTGAAATAAGACAATTAGAGAAAGACAAGTATCATACGACCTCACTTTTATGTGGAATCTAATGAACAAAATAAACTAATGAACAAAATAAGTCCAGAGACATGGATGCATAGAACAGAGTGATAGATCTCAGTGGGGATGGGAAAAGATTAACCAAAGAATGTATCTGCATATTTGGATAGCCCGTGGACATAGACAATAGTGCAGTGAAGGCCTGGGATGAGGTGGGTGCCAGGTGGAGGAGGCGCAGGGGGGGAAATGGGAGACATCTGTAATACTGTCAACAGTAAAAATAGATTTTAAAAAATGGTTAATAAAATAAAGCATAAAGAACTTCTTAAATTATTTCCCATCTGGTTATGTGATAATGTATAATACAACTGTGAAGAGTTTAAAACACGGGTTCATTGACCCGTGAACCAAGTTACAGAAAGAAGATTTTTTCAAATAGATTTTGCCCACTAATTTTTAAGGAATAATGTAAAAAAATAAAAAATAAGTAAAAAAGAAAGAAAGAAAAGGAATCATTCTAGCCAAATGGAGAATCTGATCCCATTTTGCAAACTTCAAACATGAATTGTATCTATCTTGTTTTTAAAGTTACATGTGTTCTTTATGGAAATTAATGTTAAAAACAAACTGATCATTTTTAAACAGAGAAATTGAAGACTTCTAGTGTTTTCCCTTTTTGATTCCTCTGATATTTCAGTTCTAGATTATAAAGTACAAAATGAACTGAATTGAAATTCTGTATTCTATTTTGTGGCCTTTAGTCACATGCTAACTTTGCTTCAAATAACAGCAGGCCTGTTTATAATTCTCAATTTGTAACAAACATTTTACATTTTACTATAACATAAGTGAAATGTATCTTACATTAGCAATTGTCTTTTAAAAATGTTTTCTGATATTATATAAATAAAACCTCCCCTTTAAAATTTGATAATTTATAGGGTAGAGAAGATTTCTTGAAAAGACTCACTCGAGGTACTGTGGCTAATGGAATGATGACTCAGGTAATCCTAATTTGCTTTTAATATTTTATTATTCCTTTAATTTGCATTTTACTTAGCATTTTCAATTTGTCTGTAATGAGGCATCTTTTTACTACTTGGTTTGCAAGCCAGCAATTTTCGCTCCTTAGCTGATGACAGTTGCCCTCCGTGTAGGACGAGCAGTGTCTGATCATGCATAAAGACACTGACTTCCCATATACATATCTCATTTTGTGACTTAATGGGAATTTCTTACAGTCTAGTAAAAGGGCAGTGGGATCTTATTCCTAAGTGTCTCTTTAGTTTGCTTTGTGATGATATGTTTTCTTTACTTTTAGTGTCTTTCAATTGAATTTCTTTAACATTAAAAAAAAATGCTATGATTTTTAATGTAAAAAAAATGAGACTGAAGCATTATAGCTAGTAAAATCAATTTTAATATTTTTATCTTTATCTATACCACCTACATATCCTTTGAAACCCAGGTTGGGTATTTTGATTCCTAGCATCTCTCTAGAATGCCTCCCCTTAAAAATACATAAATATTTTAAATTATTAACAGAAAAATAAAATCAAGAGACAAAACAGTGTTATTTTTAAAGATCATTTGAAACTATCTGCACCTCTGGTCCTCTTTGAAACAAACACACATTTTTCAATTTCTTCTATTAGGAAATTTAACATTTTCAAACATATAAAGCAGTGTTTCTTTACCTCCATAACATATGTTTGAAAATGCCAAATTTTCTAATTTACATATTTAATAATGCTATAATCTCTCAGCCCTTTTTTGCTTGATATTTTGTTATTACTTTCTTGTTGATTGGTAATTTTACTTGGTCTTAGATTCAGGAATTAACATATATTTCAATATTTGTTGTTAGTGTATTCTCTAGCCTTATTATTTTCAATTGCTTACTCAAGAATGTTTGATTTTTATTGTTCATTAATATTTTTCTCATCATTTAAAAAATAATAACTGTACACTCTTTAAATTTGCTATATTCATACCTATTGCTTTTTATGTTGGCATTTATTTTTTTATTTTCAAATAACAGCAAATTTTTCTTCCTAGTACAAGATGAAGACAATAAATGTTTAGGTAATTAATAACTGAATGAATTATTTTAAATCTTTAATGGCAGAGAAGATTGTATTCCATTCATGAAGTACTGGTATTTGAGAAGGAGGAGTTTATGAAGAAGAAAGCACTATATTTACTAACACTGGCAGAACTAAAGGAACCTCTGCTTCAAATGGAAGAAGAGTCTGAAAGACTAAAAAATCTCCATACAGAACAGTTTGAAGTAAGCATTTCTAATTAATCCAGAAACTAATTTTCAGGAATATTTAGGTTGATAAATCATGTAAATGATTTCATATTATTGGGAAATTATGATTTCACATAGGAAGACATAAAATTGTGGACAGAATAAGTAACTATTTCATAAGCACACACTGATCAATAGTGGAATTACATAGAAAGACTATTAATGCTATTAAATAGAACCCTGTACTGTATCTTAGAATGTATTTAGGAAAAACACTCTTCAAATAGGTGAGTAGTGATTTATTTGGTGTGATTGCTGCCCACTGAAATTTTTGATACATGCAGAAAATAGCTAGGATGAAAAATAAAGCAAATGTCAATAAAATAGTTTCAAAACAACAAGTTCATGGCAGTAACTGATATTACTAGCCCTTCCCAAAGAAAAATTTAGTAGAAAACTATGTATACATCATGTCATTAGTCTTTTGGAGAAATAGAGGGTGTGGTAAGAGTTATACATTCTTGTCTTTAGGTGCAGGGAGTACATACATATTATTCATTTGGACCGTTTGACAGCAGGATTTTTTTTTATCATTGCAAATTATAGTGTAACTTTATATTCTTAGTATTTAATAATTTTCAAAATTTATTTTATAATCTTTGTGATTTGCAAAGTGTTCCTAATATAAATGTTTATTTTGATCTTCAAAACCTCCCTATGAAAGAGGCAAGAGAAAGTTTATCTCTATCAGACACTTGAGAAAACTTGGACCTAAATGCATGAAGCAACTTGTACAAGTCCATCAAGCATGGAAACAACAAAATCTGGGTATATTACCCTACTTAACGCTTCTAAATGCTTATCCTAGAGCTCATGTAACTAAGACCTAGTGAGATAGATTTTAATAATGGCTCCTCCTTACATTAATAATGGGATTTATTAACTGCATCAAAAGCCTCAGTACAGTCCGGCTGGTGTGGTTCAGTGGTTGAGCATTGACCCGTGAACCAAGAGGTCACCGGTTCGATTCCCAGTCAGGGCACATGCCCAGGTTGTGGGCCTGGTCCCCAGTGAGGGGCATGTAGGAGGTGGCCAATCGATGTTCTCTTTCATCGATGTTTCTATCTTTCTCTCCCTCTCACTTCTTCTTTCTCTAAAATTAATAAAGGGAAAAAATTTTTTTAAAAAGCCTCAGTACAATAATCTGGATATGACAATGAATTTGAAAACGGATTAATGACTTTTGTTTCCTCTTATTTTATAATAGCTATTGTTTTTTATCTTCTTGTAGTTTAGTAATTATTTTTGTTTTTATTATATTTTAATACTTTATAAATTATAAGAACTTTTATTTAGCATAATAAATAAAAGAATACATTTTTATATAATTTCTGTAATGATTACTGACCATTTTATTTGCAGGTTTAATTTTGGTTAAAAGATTTTAAATATTGTCATGAAAATATATAACTTCTATGTGAGTTTATTAGTGTTTGTTACTTAGCTAAAATTTGTAAGATTTGGTTTTCAAGGGAATTCAAAGTGAATATTGGGATTGTGGATATCATAGTATGTTTTCCTACTTTGTGTGTAGTGCTCCTTACCCTTTGTATCAAAATATATCTATTGCTATTTTTAGAATAGTCACTTGGGAACTATTTGATCTAGCGGGATAATTGGATTGTAAATGCTACACATCTTAATTTCTGAATGTCTCCTAGCTACTAAATAATATAATTGAAAAGAGAAAGCATATTAAAACACATGTGGAAAAAACAAAGGAAAAATTGCAAAAAAAGGAGAAGAAAACCCAAGAAGCACTAACAGAATCTGAGGTAAGAAATTTAATATGAAAAATATTTTAATTTACACTTTATGTCAATGAAAACTATTCAAGCAAATTTAATTTTAGATGGATGTCTCTCATCACTAATTGGTTGTAATAAATTGATTCTGCATATGCTTCTGTGTACACGTGCATGGATGAGTGCCTGCCTGCCCCCCACCCCAGGTCTCTTGTGTTCATTTTCCCTCTCAGTGTCTTCCCCCTTGATCGAGTGTATCCCTTGTTACCTTTCCTACAAAGTGGAGGTAGAAATAGTGCCATATTTCTACAAATGAAATCAACCTTCAGACTCAAACATTTGTTAATATCTGACATCTAAATTTACCCTCAAACTGCTATGCAGGCAGCATGAACAAATGGCTATTATCAAAAAACTTCAGGTCTTTATCAAAATTATAAATATTTACTTCCTGAAAATCCTTGTACCTAATATTCTATCTTTAGAGAATCAGTGGATTTGGGGAAGTAGAGCTAGTCCATTGCCTGTAACTTGATATTTTCTGGGTATGTTTTAAAGGTAGTTCACAATAGGATTTGTGAGTGGACAGTATATGGGCTATGAGTTAGAGATGTGATTATATAATTTAAAAAGTTTGCCCTCTACAGGGCCACACACACACACACACACAAAAACCATAAAAAAATTATCTAGGAAAATTATAATAATAATATCTTTAATAATAATAGAGTATTAATATGTTACATGTTTTCTATATGCCAAGCATTGTTCTAAGTGCTCACACATATTAACTCATTTAGTCTTCATGAAAACTTGATGAAGATTATGCTATTATTATATCCATTCTCAGATGAAGCATCTGATGCCTTGTTTTTTATTTATTTCTTTATTAATCCTCACCCAAGGATACTTTTCCACTGATTTTTAGATAGAGTGGGAGGGAGGGCGGGAGGGAGAGAAAAATCAATGTGAGAGAGACACAGTGATTGGTTGCCTCCCACATGACCCTGACGAGGGCTGGGGTTCAAACCTGCAACCTAGGTACGTGCCCTTGACTATAAATTGAGCCCAAGACCCTTTGGTCCATTGGCTGATGCTCTAACCATTAAGCCAAACTGGCCAGGGCTGATGCTTTGTTTTTTTAATAATTTATTTTCATGAAGTTCATTAGTGTCAAGTTCGGACTCACTATATCTGGCCCTGGTTCTGGATCTATGCTCTTAACTGTTATGTTATCCTAGTCCAATCTTGACTACAATGAAGTACAATCAAATCTTAATAATAAAAAATATAGCTAAAAGAAAAATATATGTGGACTACTGGAAATATTTTAAAATTACATTTTATTATTAATTTGCTTCTATGTTATGGAATATTTAGAAATACAAATTACCATTTATTTATAAATGACTGATAATGAATTATATAGCAAAGTTGGGCTAAGGCCAAACTTCGGTATTACCAATGCATTGTTTTGCTAAGAAAAACTAAAAGTATTTGGCATATGTATTAACAACAAAAGAGAAGAAATTAAAACTAACAATAATTGAGAGAGAAATATAGGAAAAGTTAAAAGAGACATAATTATATAGAGACGTGAAAGAGAGAATGCTACTTTGCATAGCAATTAAAAAAAAATCTACATGAAGTGTATATTTCATTTATAAAACATAAGTGATGAAAACTGGGTGAAGGGAAATAACACAACAATAGATGAATAATTATAAATATAATTCGTCCAAACTTTACCACTAAAAGCAAAAACAAACCCAGATATTTTACAAGCTTTCCTACAAAGACCAGGTTCATGGCATAAGAAAGAGTGGAAAGCTTTTAAATTCATTCCATAATCATATAACATTGAAACCATAACTGAAAATGTTAGTATTAAAAATCTATAGGTGATCTCACTTATGAATGTAGATGATAAATTCTTAAATGTATCAGCAAATTGAATTTTAAAATGTGCTAAAAAGAATATACTATGTAAAATAAGATTCCTTGGAAGAATGTGAAAATGGTTCAGTATAAACAATTGTATTAATATAATTCACTACATTTGTAGAAATGAAAGAAATTAGCCTAAAATATTTGATACGATGATATATCCACTAATGATTAAAAAAACCCAACTCTTACCTGTCTAGAAATTGAATAAAAACATCTTTACCTTGATATATGTGTTACAGTGTGTCTACCAGTGTTTTCCATCAAACATCATACTTAATGATGAAACATGAAAAGCATTTCCATTAAAATCAGGAACAAAACATTCATACCAGCTGTTACTACTTGGCACACTACTGTTATTGATAACAAGTTACTTGTAATGTCACAAAAGATAAAACATATGTGTTCATCCCTGCAACAGAAAGCCACCACAGTTCTTATGTCCATATCTAAATATTAATTTCAAAAATATTATCTAAAAATTGCCAAAGGTGCCATATCTAACAAATACAAACCAATTCCAAGAAAAATATGGCTGAATACTATGTGTGTGTGTGTATATGTTTGTGGTGCTCAGTATTATAGAAGCTATTAGAAGTTGGAGGATTTGAGAAGGGTTAATTTTATTTGTCCTTCAAATTTGTTTGTCTTTCCAATTATTATCGAGCACCTTAAATATATTAAATATTGTTGGAACTTGCTGGAGTTAGGGAAGTAAAAAGAGAACTTTGTTAACTCCAGAAGCACATCATTTTGTTGGGAAGCAGATGAGGAGACAGCACATTAATACATTGTGAGCAGAGCCATGACAGCTATGTAATGATGTGCGAGAGGGTCGTGGGGGAGGAACCCGGAATGAACTGAGGGAATCAGGGCAGGTTTTGCAAAAGAGGTGATGTCTAAAATTGAGACTACTAATGGGATAAATGGAGGTTGGATACTTGCCATGATATTGAAGAGAATAGAGATTATGTACACAAAACACCTAAAGGAATAATTGGCGCTGAAGGAATTTTAACAAATGGTTTATATTATTATTATTATATAATTTTTGGCTTGAAGAAATAAGGTAAGGGCATTCTAGAAACACACACTGTGTTTACAAAACAAAGAGATCATGTGAGAATGCTCTGTGTTTGTGGAATGGCAAGTGGTTCAGTATGGTCAGAGTGCAGGGCACCTGTTATAAGTGAAAGGAGATGAAGCTAGTGAAACGGGCAATGCCCAGATGAAGAAACACCTGTGGGCCATGCTCTTGAAACCCATCCTGTAGTAACTTATAAACTGTTTTAGTATCAAACATTACTAATAGCATTTATTGAGTATTCATTATACTGATGGATTTATAATCAGTGCTATAGATACCATTTTCTATCTTCTAAGAACTTAAGTTCTAACACAAATAATTTTATCTTTAATGTGCATAAGCATTTCAATCATGGGCCAAGCTAAACAGTACTACTAAATTTTTACTATTTTGACTCCAAATTAAATCTTAGGTATAGAATTTGAACTTATTACATTTAGATAACATATTTATTAAATCCTAATAAAAATGAAAAATATAAATTCACACAAATAATTTAGAATCTGAGTATAATTTTTATTACTATTTTTTTGTTAATCCTTACATAAGGATATTTTTCCATTGATTTGTTTTATATATATATATATATATATATATATATATATATATATATATTGCAAAGGAGGGATGAAGGGAAGGAGGGGAGAGAGAGAGAAACATCGATGTGATAGAGACACATTGACAGGTTGCCTCCCTCATGCAACCATGCAACCAGGGCTGGGGATCAAACCTGCAACCCAGGTACATGCCTTTGACCAGTAATCAAATCCACGACCCTTTGGTCTGTGGACCAACACTCTACTGCTGAGCCAAACTGGCCAGGGCAATTACTTAATATTTTTAAAATGTATGGTTTGAATGTTTTTGAGATAAGGAAATAATGAAAAATGTTTTATAGCAAAACATTAATTAACTGCAATTCAGATTTCCAGACCTTTCCAAGTCTGGACATGACTTTGGGTGGAAAGCCTGCAAATTGCTGAAACCTTTGTCACCTAGGCTAGAGAAAAAAAAAGAATAATAATAATAAAAAAAATGGTCCAGCCAGGCCGATGTGGCTCAGTGGTTGTGTGTCAACCCAAGAACCAACAGGTTGCCAGTTTGATTTCCATTCAGGGCACGTGCCCAGGTTGTGGGCCAAATCCCCAGTGGGGGGGAGTGCAGGAGGCAGCCAATCGATGTTCTCTCATCAGTATTTAAATCTTTCTCTCCCTCTTCCTCTCCCTTCTTCTCTCTCTAAAATCAATAAAGGAAAAAAAAAAATGGTCCAATTATAAATGTACTGTTTTATGCCTCTGTTCCCATTTGCTCTGGTGCTGCTTCAGCATTTATCAAAAGATTTACAAATGGCTCTTGGAGTCCTCAAGCTTTTGCTCACTCAGATATGCAGATGTGTACTCTTGACATATGGCATCTAACACTTTTTTCTCTACAGACTCAAATAACTATAGGGATGTCTCTGATATTTTTGGTACCATGGAAGGAGATACACTGCTCACAATGACAAAGCATCACTGGTGGTACCTATGTAAGGTACCAAAGTGCAACTTTTGTTTTTCACTGCTGTCTGCAGGAAGCACAGTCTCTTTCTTTCCTTTAGGGTAGAATCCTCTGCCCCACCTTCAGCACTGCTGATTTGGCTAGTATGGTCTAAGTTGTTGACACCATTTCTTCTGAAGTTTTCTGTTTTCCGTGAGAATCTTCACTCAAGATTAAGGCATGAATTATGGACCTCACTTGAAAGTTGAGTTCAGTGATAGATAGCATGCTCTTTTCAGAGTTGCCTATTCTTTGACTCTGACCTACTTACTTTACTCCTTAATTTTGCCTCTCCATATTCTTTTTATTTTTTTAGGTTGATTTTTCTCCCCACTCTAACAAAAGATCCTGGTGTGCCCATTGAAGAATCCTAGTCAGCTGTCTTTCACCTACATTCTGATATTAAAAAAAAACAACAAACAAAACCTTCATTTATCTGTAGAAAAATTTCAGACCTTCCAGAAAAAGAAAACAGGGAGGATATGTAAATCAAGGACAGTACCCAATGTTCAACATTTTGGACAAACAGCTGAGCTTTATAGAAAAATAAGTATAAAAGATTAGCCACTTTTGAAATCTATAAGAGTAGAGAAGGAATTAGGGTGCATGAGGGGGAAATGGAGAAAAACAGGAGCATAGGGAGCAGTTGAGATCTGTGCCATCCTTTGAAAGCGTAGCACTAATTAGAAGCCATGCCAGACACGGGTACAACAGTAAGTCAGTCACCCAGTCAGTAAATCGACAGTCAGTCAATATATACACCAACAGACAGGAAGGAATCATGCAAAATCACATCTCCCATCTGGAATTGCACACGCTTGTTTTGGAATTTGCACTGGAATTAAATATCGATTTTTTGAAAGATCAGAACAATATCTATCCTTTCCCACCTCCAGTGTACATGTTTGAAAGCCAGTGACCACATGTTTGCATCTTAAAAGGATATGACTTTAAAGTGTGCATGTGTGTGTGAGAATGGGGACAAACTAGTGCAGGGGGGAGAGAACAGAGGAGAGAGGAAGATCGATGGTGGAGAGAGAGAATAGATAGTTCCAACCCATAGTTCTATCTTCTACAAAATCTCATCAGGTGTAACAATGGAGAAAAAACATAAACATAAATCATTGCATACACACACACACACACACACACACACACACACACACACAATTTGTAAAGAGAGAGGAAGGGAGAGGGGGAGAGAGGTGCCCAACCAACTGAGCCACACTGATCAGGGCAGTTATTGCCTATATTGATAAGAAGTTACTATTTGCTTTTAATTGCTTATATGGCCAAACATAAGTATGCCCCTAAATCCTAGGATTTAAAATAAAACATCTCTGAATTTGTTTTCCAGAAAAAACACTCAGTAATTTTTAGTGAAGTAGAGAGAACTAAAAGTAAAACAGTTGTTTATCAGGAAAAAATAAATAAGTTGGATAAGGATCTAGAAGAAAAAGAAAAAGAAAAGAGAAATATTGATCAGATACTTGAAACTTTGAGGTAAGTACTTAAATCGTATCAAAATATCAAATGTTTAATATATTATTTATAAAGAAGATAATTCATATTTAAACTGATTTGTATTTTCTATCATAGTTTGATGTGTAATAAACATGTGCTATTTGATAATTCTGGTTTAGAAACAAAGTTATAAATTGCTTTTATTTTTATTGCTCCCATGGGTTCATTTTAATTTGAATAACTGGGAATGCTTCTCTTTTTCTAGCATAAGAACTTTAATTTCTTATGAACTTAATAAACCTTCCCACAAATTTTAGTATTTCTCACTTACATGACATAGTTAGTAACATGGTTTTTCATTCAGACTTTTAAAATAACTTTTGAGGTAAGTGTTTAGAAATAGATGTTCTACACACCTTGTGTACTTTATTCTAAAACCTCCTGTCCAGTCCCCTCATTAGTCGGGGCATACCTACAAGGGTTAGCAAAGCCTGGAGAATGATTGTGTTCTAAGAACCTTAGTGTATCCATAGACCCTCACTTAGGACTTAAATCGTCTCCATTTACTCCTTTTGGTTCTCATTTCCTCTTTTGTAATACATTAAGAACAGGGGTTGGAAGGCTATTTAGGGAATATGCACTGGTCACATTTAGGAATTATACTTTGATATAAATATAGAAGGCTAAAAAAACTTCACTGGTCATTCTATCAATCCAGTATATTATAATTATTTTTCATAAAATGACTGAAAAACAATAAAAGTTAATAAGGGAATTGATGGGATGATAGTAGTTTTTATTCGGATTTTTTTCTGTTTCCAAGTTTTATATGTTGAGAATTACTTTTATATGTTGAGAAATTGTACAGAAAAGTACAATTTATTTAAAAAGAATTGTTCATGGAACAGAGCAAGGCAAGCTCAGGAAGGGATTGAGTTTATTACCATGTTTTTCTTAAAACTCACCATTGAGCATATTCCTGGATGTATACACCAGTATTATTATATATTTTTTAAATTATGGAGTTTATTCTTTTGCCTAAAATCAGTACTACATAAAATACACCACTTATAAATGCATTGCCTTTTCTGTTATGTGTTCCCAGGCTGTTTTTTCCTTTTGTTTTTCATATATATAATTAAAATATTTTATTTCACAACCAACATGTTAACCTTTCATTTAAAAGTTTAACTACTATGTTGATATACAATAAAGTATAGCTTTTTTCACCTTTAAAAGAAGGAAGGAAGGAAGGGACAAAAGGCCAGAGGAAGACTATGGCACAGCCTAGTACTGTACACCCAAATGGACTCAAGTCTAGGCACTCAACAAGGATTCGTTGGCTATTACCATAGGGTGAAAACTTATTTTTCATCTGATCATATAGCTTTATCTGAAAAATACCAAATCATATTCAGTATATTATGTAAGAAAACAAGGAGTCCGGCGGATGTAGCTCTGTGGTTGAGCATCAACCCATGCACCAAGAGGTTACCAGTTCGAGTCCCGGTTGGGACACATGCCCAGGTTGTGGGCCAGATCCCTGGCATGGGGTCTCTCTCTCATCATTGTTTCTATCTCTGTCTCCCTTCCACTTCCTTTCTCTATAAAATCAATAAAGGAAAAAAAAAAAAGTAAAAAAAAAAAAAAGAAAGCAAAGAAACATGTTATATACTTTGAAAGATATTTATCTACATTGTTTATTATCTGTAAGAATATTTTGGGACTCAAAGGTATTAGTCTAAAATTACATAATTCACATTCAACTTATAGAACAAAGTTTGCTGTAAAACAGAATGCTCTCTTCATTGGCAGCTGCCCCAGACATCTCGTGTTTACTTTGTCTCTTGATTGCATCCTTGTCTCTTGTGCTTCATTCAGTCTTGTGTTGTTTTGTACAGTCTACCTGCTGTACAGGTTGTAGCCTAGGAGCAATACCACATGGCCTAGGTGTGTAGTAGGCTATGCCATCTAGCATTGTGTAAGTGCACCCTGTGATGTTCACACAATGACAACACTGCCTAACAACACATTTCTCAGAGTATATCCTCGTTGTTAAGTGCCACGTGATTGTATTAGGAATAATCTATTGGTATTTTCAATAGGTGACTGTGTCAAGTCAGTCATTATTTATTAAGAACCCATAGTAAACCTAGTGCCAGGCACCAAGAAGAACAAAAAAATATCAAGTGGGAAAGTACACCTTCAATTGTCTGAAGATATTTTTAGAGAGACAAACCTTGCATATGCAAAACCATTGAAATGTGTTGATAAAAATAATAAAAATAATATTTAATAAAAATAGGAACTATTAAGGCTACTCTTGGCTCCCATTACCTTTTTACAATTGTTTCTTAACTAGAAGGTAAAAGATTCTAAACCCAGACATATAGGACTTCAGAGTTTGTTCTTCGTCCTTGTGAGAAACACTATTTTTGTGTATACATATACATATACATATACATATACATATATATAGGTTATAAAATGTATAATTAATAAAATACTATATTGAATATAATCTAATATCAAAATACTTAGTGTAGAGAATAAAGTATATGTGGTCAAGATATAGTGATGTTTGCTGGGAGCAACTATGAGAGTTTTTGTTTTGAGTTGCACCTGCTCCTCTGTGAATCTCACTGGTCATCCACATGTCATTTTAGGGAATACTTCTAGAGGACATCTCATAAGAATTTTGATGTTGGTTTTGTGGATGATAAAGTGGAAAAAACAAGGGGAAGACAGATGAAAGGAAAGGAACTTATTCCATTTAGGAGAGGCTCTCTTCTAAAAATGTGAATAAATAGTCACAGTTTCAAACTTAGTGGTAACAGTCATAGTGGAGAGAGAGACAGTGAGTACTTTAGAATCGAGCTGCTGAATCAGAGCCCGGCAGAACTGGGCTTGAATTCTGGTTCTGTCATTTACTAATTACTAACAAGCTAATTATGCTGAAGTTTAGGTTCTTCATCTGTAGATTGCTGTAATAATTATTCTTTCTTAGGGTTGTGGTTGTATTAAATGAGATAGTACATTCAAAGCATTTAATATTTTAGCCTCTCAAAAGTTTTAGTCCTGCTGTTTTTATGGCTAACTGTGCCAATGATTCAATTTTCTATATCAGTAGAGATGAAAACGAATGTGGGTAACAAGACTGTGCTGAGCTTTTGCAGCTCTGCTGATTCTGGATTCTGGGTTGCTGATCAACTCTGGAAATTATTTCTAAAGCATATTTATTTTTGCAGTATTGTTTTAAGCACTTTTTGATTCTTATTCTACCTGTATTGGTTTATACGTTACTACTGATTTCACTGTGAATATCATTTTACCTCTTTGTCAAGATGTACTTAGTTGCATATGACAAAATGCACTCAGACATGTGGATGCATACACACAGACACACACACACACACGCACACACACATTCACACACCAGATTAAACAGTAGGGGAATGTATCATCTTACACAACAGGAGGCCTTGGGTAAGGCAAGCTGCGGGGTTGGTTGGTTCAGCAGTTTAACATTAGGTAATTGGTTTTTTTTCTTCTCTCTCCATTATACCTGTTTTCAGCAAATTTGAAAACATGACTCCTTGTTTAATTTAGTGATTGTGAGCCTCTTCTACATGTAATTACATCCTTGCCATTCATCTTATTGGACTATCTTCTTTTTTTTTTAATAAATATATTTTTATTGATTTTTTTAGAGAGGAAGGAAAAGGGATAGAGAGAGAGAAACATTGATGAGATAGAAACATCAATTGGCTGCCTCCTACATGCCCCATTACTGGGGATCAGGCCTGCAACCTGGGCATGTGTCCTGACCAGGAATCGAACCAGCCACCTCTCAGTGCATTGGATGATGCTCAATCTACTGAGCCACACTGTCCTGGCTTATTGGACTATTTTAATATATATACTCACTCCTGGATAATTAGCTACATGGCTCATTGGCTTAATATAATTAGAATGTGCCTTTGGAGCCCTGGCTGGGTGACTCAGTCAGTAGGAGCATCTTCCCATATACCAAAAAGTTGCAGGTTCAATTCCCAATCAGGGCACATACCTAGACTGGATTCAATCCCCAGTCAAGTTGCATGGGAGGCAACCAATAGATGTTTCTATCTCACATTGATGTTTCTCTCCTCCCCTCTCCTCCTTTCCCCTCCCCTCCCCTTTCTTTTCTGTTCTGTCTAAAAATCTGGGATGGAGGGGGGCAATGGAAGAAAAAAGAGGGACATCTGTAATACTTTCAACAATAAAGATAAATTTAAAAAAATATTAAAATAAAAACTCAAAGACCTCCACCAAAAAACAAAACAAAAATGAAACAAATACTCTGGTGAGGATTAAAAAAAAAAAATTAGTGTCTTTGGAGTTACATGGTGCATGGAGGAGGGTTTCTTCTGGAATGCATGGAGGCATGATAGGTCAACATCCAAAAGGACCCACTAAATTTTTCCAGAAATTTTCTTGCACCTGGATCACAGATGTAGCTCCATGGAGTAACCTGGAGGGACTAGGGAATTTTTTCCAAATCCCTTCAGTTTTATTATTTTTCAATATTGGGTCTTTTAAAATGTATCATAAATGTGTTTTAGAAAATAAAGTATAAATTGATTAGTGCTAATTGCAATTCTTTCTTAATAGGGAGCAGCTTGCAACTCTAAGATCAAAAAAGGAACACGCACAAGCTATTTATGATCATCTCATAAGTGAGAAAAAAGCCTGTGAAGTGAGAATCAGTGAAGAAGAACAGAGATACAGAATTCTCGTTACCAAGAGGCAAAATACTCTGGCAGATATTAAGGTGAGTATTATTTTTGACTGTTTTAGAATGAAAGAAATATAAGGATATTCAAAATAGCAGCCAGTTTGAAGCACTACTTTTTCTTCTTGAAGTAGTGAAGATGTTTAAATTTTAAAAATAAATCTGTTAGCATAGTAAACATGTAACTTTTAATTTTTATTTTTAAGTAATTATATAGTGTATTGTACTTTTCAATGCATTTTGTGTGCACTCTTACTTTGGCATTGTACCTTATTTTATTTTGAAGGCGACTGATTTAAAAGTATAGGTTACATTTATTTCAGAGCCATTTCCGTATTTTTAATGGGAGATATGAGAATAGCTACATTTTATTTGTGAATAAAAATACTTTGAATGTTTACCAACCACTTTTTTGAAAAATGATAAATATTTTATGCTATTTTTAAAAAACATTTTGCAAATATTTTAATTGCATTTATTAGTTAGAAACAGGGAAATCATGTGATAAAATATATATTTTTAGATCTGCATTTTCATTAAGTTTTATAAAGCTATACATATTAAATTTTATATAGATATGATTAAGTGATATAGATTTACTAAAGTGATTTCTGTCCTATTTTAACATTTTGTAATAATTTTTACATTTAGTTGCAATAATAAATGCCATTTTTTTCAATATATTTATAAATATTACTTATTTTTGACAGACACGTGGTAAATTACTTCTAAAAAATAAAAAATTCTACCAGTGTTATTAAAACTATTTTCTGCAAAGCTTTTAAAGATATCTGTAATATCATAATATGCTTTTATCAACTATTTTTGATCCTGATATTTATATATTCAATTACTACATATATTTAATATACTCAAGTACTTTTTTCTTTTTATGTTTCCAAGGACATTGCTAATACATTTTTTAAAAAGACTATTTGGGACAGATATACATTGAATAAACAACTATGTGAGTGAATGAACACACCGTCTTTAGCTAGCTCTGATCTCCACTATAAGAAATTAATTTTAAAAATAACAGTACTTTTATTAATAATGGCGATAAATAACATTCTTTCATTTAAAATATAGCCATTACATAGAAAAAGGTTTTGTTTTCTTTCGTTGGCCTAAAAATATGAAAATAATTGGTGCCATCTAGTGGCAGTAAACGATGCCTCCTCTTGGAGGAGTTTCTGGAACTTGGATGGCTGAGTCTCAGATATGTGATATATAAATGGGCTGGGAAAGCTCAAACTCAAATACACTCCTCAAAACAAGAAGGCTTAAGTTATTTACTGACAAGCATCATTCCCCACCTTATATTTTATCACAGCAGTAGAATTAGTTGTTTGAATTCAACCACATTTTCCAATCGTACTGGTGCTGAGAACACAGTGGGATCCCAATAATCATTTATTGACTAGCATTTCAACACTTTAATGGAACAATAATAATTAGTGAAATGGCAAAATATGGTCAGCAGGAGAGAGACAAAGAAAAAACCCTGTGTAACTAGCCTCTCAGTAATTGAGATTTGGATTTCTTTTCATCCAGAAGCCTGTCTCTGTCTCTTATTCTGAAATGTATCTTGGACACATCACATGCTCTCATGCTTTTTTTTTTTTTCCTTAGCACTAATCTCTATCTGAACTTGTGTGTTTTGTTTTCATTAAATTTTACTTTTTTACATCTTATTTTCTAAAATACATGTATGGTGCATTTTAAAAAACACAGTATTGTTTTATGAAGTCCTGTTACAGAAACATCTTCTCTACAAGGATAGGAGAGTTTACTGTCACATTCTCTGTGTCCTAAAAGCTCAGAACTATGCCTGGTGGTATAAAAGAGGCACTCAATAGTAATACTCATTGAATAACTGAATGAATAAATGGATTAACATATTCTTATTTAGTAATTTTGATGTTAACTGCATGACAGTGGCTAAAAGCAGAGCATTTCAGAGATACTTTTCATATTGCACCAGCCTGATACATCAGCAAATCCTCACGCTGTGTAGAGGCCAACTCTCATTCACACTCTCTTCATGATAATACATGAGAAATTTACTATTTGGTCTGTTCCTTATAGGTGAAAACAGTTAATTTGTCTATTGCTTTCTAGCAATTAAAGGATTCTGCTAAATATCTCAATAATGCTTCTCAAATAACCTTAGATTTATATGAAACTGTCTCTTATCAGTGCTTGGCTAGCTGTTTGCTTTGCATTCATCTTATGTGATCAGAAGCATAGAGTTTCAACATGCAGAGTTTAGAGATTGATGTATCATCATTAATAACACTGTTTATGATTAGGATCAGTTATCAGTATTAAAAAGTTGAAAGACAGTGTGATTCTTCATAGAAAAATCTATTCTCTTCCCTGTTTAGAAATTAGATGAGATAAAAATGTATAAATATGTGTGTAATATAAAGCATTGCCATAAAGAAACAAGTCTTATTAGGCATCATTATATATATGATGTTACTGTTCTGGGATGTCCCCACTGGGCTAATGAATTGATTATAATTATGGATCATCTGAAGGATGATCATATTTCTAGTTCAATGCAATTGCTTAGGATTAAAATTTCAGTATAACACCTAAATATATTAAGCAAAATAAAAACAGATATAAAGGGAAAAATATACAATAGTACAATAATAGTAGGGGACTTCAATATCTCAGTTTCAACAGTGGATAAATCATCTAGACAGAAAATCAATAAGGGAACACTGGACTTGAACTACACTTCAGACCAAAGCAGACGTGTAGAACATTCCATCCCACAGCAGCAGAAGACACGTTCTTCTTAAGTGCACATGCAACATTCTCCAGGGTAGACATGTGTTAGGTCACAAACAGGTCTTAACAAATTTAAGAAGATTGAAATTACACCACGTATCTTCCAACCACAGTTGTATGAAACTGGAAATTAATTACAGGAGGAAACTGGAAAATTCACAAATAAGTGGAACTTAAAAACATACACCCAACCAACCATTGTAGAGTCTGCAGAGCCCCAGCCCCAACAGTCAGCAAGCTAAGATCTGGAAACAGCCCAAGTGTCCATCAGTAGAAGAGTGGATATAAAAGCTATTGTACATAAACACAATGGAGTACTATGGAGCTGTAAGAAAGAAATATCTCTAATCCTTTGAGATGACATGGAGGGACCTGAAGAGTGTTATCCTAAGCAAAACAAGCCAAGCATAGAATGACAAATATTACATGATCTCACTTATTTGTGGACTATAATGAACATAACAGTCTGAGGAATGGGGTAGTCCCAGAGACATGGAGGTGGGGTACAGACTGACAATCCCCAGAAGAGGAAGTGGTGGGGGGAGGGAAGAGATAAACCACAGAATTTATATGCATGTACGCATAACCAATAGACATGGACAACAAAGCCAGGGATGGGGAGGAGGGTATCAATGGGGAAAAAAAAGAGAAACATCTGTAACAAAAATAAAATAATAAAAACAAGAAAATGCTGAGAGATAATAATACAACAATTTCATACCCAGATTCTGTCTTCAAATATTCTATAACACTTTAGAGCTTTATGAGCACACGCGGCCTCAACTGTCAATATAGTGGCAGACTCATCGATCTGCTCCATGTCCACTCCTCCCAAACTCTGTCTTCGTGTGGTGGATTATTAGGTACTGGTTTCCACTTGGTCCCTATCACATCTAAAACAGATCATCTAACAAAGCCAGTTATCACAAACATTTTTATTATAAATGTCACCATAATTTATTCCAGTCAACTAGTAACATACCACATCCTGTATATCTATACATCCTATACATCTGTTCTTTTATTTGCACATCACACCCAATTTGACATCAGTCTCTAGTAAGTCTGTAACCCTCGTTCCTTCTCATCACTTCTCTTATTACAAAAACACTTTCTTATATCTGCATCTTGTGCTTTCATTTCACTTTAATTCATCCTGCATAATGCTGTCTAATAGATTTTTCTACAGCCCATCTCTAACCACATCACACTCCTCAAAAGTTCTTTATGTCTCCTACCTCTTTACAAATTAAGTATAAACTGTTCAACTGAGTTTTCATGATATATCCCAAACCTACATTCTCAACTTCATCTCTCATTGTCATCTGCATTACCAATATAAGAGCATATTTAGATGGAAATTATAAACAGTGATACAATTCAAGTCAAATTTCTACACTTTATATTATTAACAGCAATAAAATCAAACCAAAGTAGTTAATATACCAAAGAAGTAATACTGACAATAGTAGAAATGTAGTATCAACACAGAAAGCATTATGATGATAAATGCAAGAATGAATAAAACTACTATATGAATTAATTAAATTAGTAAATAAGAATGGAATGAAAAATCAAAATCATCCTAAGCATTGCTCTATAAAGGTTACAAATACACATGTAAAAAATAAGCCAGAATAGTTGATGAAATGCAAAATTAGATTAGTCTAACAAAAAGAGCAGGTGTTGATAATATTAACTTTAAACAATATATAGGAGAGAGTTTTCATTATATACAAAATGATGTGCTCAAAATGGCCATTTAGAAATTATGAGTCTGTATGCACTGAATAACATTACCTACAAATATGTAAAACAAAAACTACCATTACTTCATGTAGGAAATTTCACATACTGCTAATAGACTATGACATTCAAGTCGACTGACATATAGGAACTAATACGATATGAAAAGTATAATCTGGTTGAACTAAACATTTTATTGGTTTATTTTCTCATAAATTATGGAGCATAAGCTACACTGATATTTGATAATCCTATGAAAATTAAATAAAAACTACTTAACATAAATTTATGTATTGAAGTATAATTGAGCCCGGCTGGTGTGGCTCAATGGTTGAGCATCAACCCATGCACTTAGAGGTCACCACTTTGATTCCTGCTCAGGGCACATGCCCAGTTTGAGGGCCAATTCCCCAGTGTGGGGCATGCAGGAGGTGGCCAATCGATGTTCTGGTTCTCTCTCATCAGTGTTTCTATCACTCTCTCCCTCTCCC